GGGGGGGGGGGGGGGATGCACAGAAGGGCTGCCGAAAGAGCAAGTGGGACTGTACCCCTTGGCCCCAGAATACCTTCTCCTGCAGCTCCTGCTTCTCCTTATTGGCATCCTCCAGCTGTGACTGGAGGTCGTTGATCTGACCCAGGTCCCGCGAGGCCTAAAGAAGGGGTAGGATGCCAGGTTGATGGGAACTGGCCTGACAGGCCAAGGTCCTAAAGCAAAGGGGTGCCCCCTTACCCCATCTGCCGCGGTGCCAACCCCCTTGCCGTTCCCGCCACGGAACTGGCCGTGGTCTTGCCTGGTCGGTAGTGGTGCTAAAGGGGCGGGTCAGATGCTGCACCAGATTCCTCTCAGCTGCTAAGTGGAGTCACTAATGTTAGGGGATGCTCTGGCCCCCGTTATCTGCTTTGCTATAAGATGGAGGGACCTCTTCCAAGGAGGTGGGATTCTTTGTCCCCAACCTCATTTTTCCCTCCAAGGCGCTGCTGCTAACTTGGCTCAGATGCCAAGAACTACCCCGCTTCCCTCCCTGCCTCCACCTCAAGTTGAACTCCACTCCAACAAGGAGTTGAAGAGGGCCGTTCCCCTTCGGTCTGCAGGCAGGGACCCTACTCTGTTGGGCTGGAGAAAGGGGGTGGGAAACTGTGCCCACACCAATTGAAAGGGAAGTAGACCGAGTCAGAGGTACAGCAAAGCTCTCGGAGGTACAATGCAGGAAGAGAGATGCTGCTTGATCACAGCTGTTTTGCATGGGAACAAAGGCGGAATCAGTGACTAGCGAAGGGCACCTTCAACAAAGCATCCATGATTCCCACCCAACCCGGCTGCCCCCCTCCTGGCAAAGCGCAAGGGAGGCAATAAAGCGGCAGGGCCCACCTGAGCAACTGCCGCCTTGTGCTTCTTCATGAGTTCGTTCATGTCCTCTTGATCCTCCTCCAAGCGACTCTGCACCTCGTTCTTCTCCCTCTGCAAACGGCTCAGCTGCTCTTCCAACTGGGAGGGCAGAGTGGAGATTTCAGCCCCCGAGAAGGGCTTCAGGTGGGGATCCCAGGCCTCATAGGGGGACTGACCTTTGGGAACCCCGTATCCTGGCCTGGCTCAACCTAGGGCAGCCTCTTGGGTTTGCTACGCATGAAAACCTTCCTGAGAGGCAGAGCTGCTGGCTGGAGGAACCAAGAGCCAAGGGAGGTGGCGCGCTCTCCTTCCCTGGAGGGGCTCAAGCAGAGGCGGGACAGCCACCATGCAGGGACACTTTAATCTGGATTCTACTCCATGGCCCAAATGACCCCTTCCAACCTCCAGGAATCTGGGCAGCTTTCTCCAACCTCCAGATGGTTCTCCAAACTGCAACAGCCCCCCTTCCAAGCCAATCAAGCACGACAGCTGGCACGTTGGGGATGCCCAGTTGGGAAGGGCTAACTCAGAATAGCCTCTACCAAACCCGAGGGCAGCAGAGGAGAAAAACAAGGCCTGGGACTGTGCTCCTGTGTTTTGATTCAACCCTCAAGCCCAGAAAACTTGCCCAGGGGGCCTTACACTCTACTCAGGGGTACTGGGGGGGGGCGTCAAAAGAGTCAAGATGGCAGCCACAGCCATTTTACGTGCATTGCAAAAAAGGGGCAAGGCTTTGATTACATGCTTGTCATCGCCACCTTGGCCTTTTTTACCCCTTCCCTGCAGGTCCTCGGCCAGTCTTAGCCAGTCTCCCTGCACGTAAAGCAAGGAGACGATTCTCCTTGGGACTGGGGGAAAGTAACAGCAAAAGCAGCTGTGGCATTTTGGAAGCAGTGGGGCTGATTTGGAAGCCTCCTCCCTCCACTCAACAAAACGTCCTTTTCTTCTCTGGGCTCACGCTCTCAAAACTGGATCTGTAAGTCTGTCAATTAGCTAGAAGCTTTGATGTCTCCCAGTTAGTTCTCCTTCCCACAAAAAAAGGAAAACCCTGAACAAAGTTATGTCAGAAAGCAGCAGCAAACGCCCCCAGTGTAACGAGCAGACCGCGTCATTAGCCAGCCGGGATCAGTGGGCAGATAACCCCCACAAGGGAATGGAGGGGAGTGGGGTGGGGTGGGGGGATCTGCCCTCCAACACCCGGATTTCATGGGGAAATCAAGCCTGTGTAAAGCAAGCCTTTGCCTACCGCTCCCTTGGCCTTGGAAAGGTCCTCAATCTGCAGATGCAAGTCCTCGATTTCCACCTCCATGGATTTTCGCGCTTTGACGGCTGCAGAGCAGGTGAACTCCGACTCTTCCAGCTGCAGAAAGAGAGCCCATGCCCCAGCCCCGTGGAAAAGGCACGGTCAGCGAGGCAGGTATCTCCCACAGTGGCTCAGCCTTCCTGTCACCCCACCCCTAAAGGCATAGGGCAAGTTGTCCTCTTTCCTTGAGAGCTAACCTAGACGCGCTTGGGAGGTTCCTCAAGTCTCACCTGGTTCTTCAGCTGTGCGATCTCCCGCTTGCTGGGCGCGTTGTTCTTCAGGTGGTCCAGCATGACCTGAGCATCGGCCAAGAGGGCCTTGGTGCGCTTGAGATCCTTCCGCAGCCGCTTCTCCGTTTCAAAATCCCGCTGGTTGACCTGGTGGTGGAGGGAGGCAGGCAGAGAAGGGGAGAGGTGCTAGGAGGTCTCTCGCAGGCCACCCTTGGACTCTCCCCGGCTGGCCCCACACGGCAGGGGTACCTGATCGCTGACGGTAGACAGCTTGCTCTCCAGCTCCCGTTTCTCTCGCAGCACCTTCTGCTTCTCCTCATACGCCTCCTCGAGCTGCAGCTCGATCTGCTTCAGCTGTTGGTCACATAAAGGAAGCCAAGGGGGCTGATCAGGACATCCCCGGGAGAGCCTAAGGCTGCTGGCACTCTCTGGCTGGGCCCCTCGCCGAGTTTTCTGCTGCTGGAGCCGAAGCACCCCTTCTAGAGCCCATCCCAGGTTTACTGGCCCAGCTCCATCTCTACACCCAGGGAGGTCGCCTGCCTTCTTCCGCCGGGGAAGCAGGGACAAGGAGGAAGGGGGGAAGAAAGGCCACATCACCTATGCTGGATAGAATGAGAGGGCAAGACAAGAGGCTCTGGCAAGGGGGGCGAGAAGGCGAGCTCAGAGAGGGCACCTAAACCAATAACTTCCAAAACACTCAGAACTGCAGAATGGTGGGGTTGGAAAGTGCCCTGGAGAATGTTTTGACCAGCCCCCCCCCACCACCACTGCAGGAATTGACTACTACAACCTCTTCAGGACATAGTGGTCCAGCCTCTGTTGAAACACCTCCTCCACCTCCTGAAAAAGTCTATTCCACTGCTGGACGGCTCTCAGCATTAACCATTTTTGGTTGGACATTGAGAAGCTGTTCTTCTTAATGTCCAGCCAAAATCTGCTGCCTTCTAATTGAAGCATATTGTTCCTTGTCCTTCTGGAACAGCTCTGAACAACTTCAAAACAGTTTTGTTTTGCTTTTTTTAAGGGAAAAAAAAAAGCTTGGGGTCCAGGCCAAACTCATCGCACTTCAGAAAAGGGGAGGGGGCTCCAAAGGGAAGTTTTTCCTGCTTCTTTCTCAGGAACCAGGGATGAAGAGCCAGTGCAGCAAATTCCAGTAGCTTTACAAGGAGCCAGCCAGGAGAACTGTTTGCGAAGATATTTGCAGGTTCATGCCAGGCAGGGCAGCGCCCCTTGTGGACAGAGGGGAAGAGCGGTGGGTTGTATTGGTCAGGTCTGGGCGGGGTTCAGATGGATTGAGGGTCTCGGCTCCCAATAGGCTTCCTGGTGCAATTCAAAATGCAGATTTGGGCCTCTAAAGTCCTGTGTGGCTTGGCATCAAGGCATCTCTGGGACCGCCTTCTTCATCTAGAATTGACCTGCCCAGTTGGGTCAAGTAGGGAGAAGGTGTTGGTTGTCCTGTGCTCTCCTGAGGTCCACAGGTTGCAACAAGGAGGCAATACTTTTCTGGAATGGCACCAACCTTGGGAACAGCCCCCCTCCAGGGATTCTAGAGCCCCCTCAGCAGAAGTCGTACTGGTTTTATTTAGTGTGCCCTGATACAAGCACAGCGCAGGTAAACCAAAATGATACACAACAAAACTTTCTAGAAAGCTGTTAGGACAGAATTGTTCCGGAGGGCCTTTGGGGGCTGACAACCACCTTGACTGTGCTTGCTGTTTCAATTTTTGATAGGAATTTTATTATGGTTAGGCTTTGCTTTTGTCCTGATTTATTATGGACTATTTTACAGTGGATATTTTAATATTTGATGTTGGGTTATTATGGCAGTTACTATTTAACATTTATTGTCGAGTGGATTGTTTCTATGACTATTGCCACAACTGATGTTTTATTTCGACTGTAAGCTGCCCTGAGCGGTGGATTCAGCAGCATATAAATGTAATGAATAAAATAAATAAGCATAAATAAATTTAAGAATACCAAGTAGGCAAACATTCGTCAGTTCAAATTAGCACAGCCGGGATATGCAGGAGCAGAAATACACCCTGCTTAATGGTCCGGCTCTTCCCCATTAATGCTTCACAAGTTCCAGAGCAGGACTCTTGCAAGGAAAACAAGTTCCTGGGCTAAATCTGGATGTTTCTGTGTTTTGACCCATCCTACGCAAAGCACCCCATTTCCCTCTATTTCTGCTTTCCTTAGCTTTTTCCTAGGGCTGGCTATTCCCCCAGGTTCTACTTTATTTTTCCAATCCTTGAGTCCAAGCGTAAAGAAAGGAGGAGAAAGAAATGCCAGCAGGAAGTCACAACCTGGAGACTATTAATTCCTTTATCCCATTCAACCGAAATGAACGAACAATGTGGATAAGTAATAAAGACATTATTCTCAGGCTGTCAACTGATTAGAGAACATTTTAATTAGTTAATCATATGTATATCAACCAATTAATTAATCTATCAAACTTAAAACAAATTTGCCTTTTAGAGCTACCAGAGGAAATGAATAAACTCTTCTAGTTCAACAAACAGAAGCTGCCACTGTTTTGAAAATATTCTTCCACAACCAAACCAGCTTTTAGAATAAAACAGGTTTGCCCTGGGCTTGTTAGGGCCAGCCAATTAAAAAGCGCACCTCTCGCCCCCTCCCCGCAATGCCTGATGAACTCTTATTTCTTGAGGAACATTCCTAGATGCCTTTCTGTCACTGAAGGACCTCCCTATTGGGCACCCTGGGAGCCCCTTCGCAGTACAGATGTGCAGTTTTGTATCGTAAAGTTTGTGGCTGGCTAGCGCTATCCTTGTTTGCATTGCTCCCTGCCTCTCTGCTGCTGCTGTTTCGTTCAGGCCCTGATCTGGCACCTCAGAGGCTTGATACGGGCTCCCTCCCAGTCTGCAGGAAGACTGAACTTTGGTGTCATTTAGGCAAGTTTCCTGCCTCACCCAGGATGAGCTGAATGTTGTCTGGTACCGACTCATCCCCGATGGTGAAATTCCCTGCCTGTTATTGAGCAATTTTGCAGAATGGGCAGGAAAGTAGGATGCATTCAGGGTGGGACAGAGCTGTGAGTCAGGAAGTCTCCAAGGATTTCCTCCGGACATATGGCCTTCCGCTCTGCACCCAACCTAGTTCAACTGGCTACCCCAACTAAGCTGTTCTAAGGATTACCAAGAACATATCAAGAGCACTGAGTGCTACAAGGTGTGGTTCTGAAATATCATTTTTCCACTTTGTGAAACTACTCTAAATGCAGGGTGGGGAGATCAGCCATCTGAAGTTGGGTGAATGAAGCAAAAAAGTACAACCAGGAAGGCTGTCAGTAGGAGAAAGGTGCCCCACCCCTCTGCCCTTCCTGCTGGCACTGCCAATGCTCTGGCCCTGCTCCCATCCTGCAAATTGGAAACTGGAAGCTGGTCTCCTGGAACTCTCCATCTTCTCAGGGCAAACAAAGTGGGATCCTGGAGGGGCTGCCCGGCTGCAAATGCCAAAGGCTGTGATAGGGATGTACGTGAGAAACCTCTCCCCAAAGCTTGACAACCCAGCATGGAATTGACTCGGAGACTTCCAGAGAACCACCCACCATTTCCGGCCACAGGCCTTGCTCACCTTCTTCTGGCATGACTGCCTGATCTCCTCCATTTCCTCATCGCGGCTCTCCACTTCCTTCGAATGTGTCTGTCGCAGTCTCTCCATCTCCATCTCCAGCCGGAGCTTGGCCTGATGGGGAAAAAGCCCGAGAGATGTTTCCTTCCTCTAAGAGAAGGAGCAGAAAGACTGCAGCACTGGAAGGAGGGATCAAAGGGACCAGGATGGAAATGGGACCAGGTGTGGCCTTCGCTAACTCCCCCTCTTCCCAGGCGCCATTCTGTTGCTGGCCGGCAAAGCCTCCAATCCAGGGGAACGCAGAAACGCTCCTGCTGCCCTTTGGGACTGCTCAGCCTAACGTAAAACACCCAACGTTTTTGAAGATGAAACCTGGGCACTGAGGGAGAGGGGACCCCACATTCCACTTGCATCTCTCTCTCCCTGGAGGAAAGAGGTGATAGAAAGGGAAATAAAAATACGGTGGCACCGAGGAAGCTTGTTCCAGTTAAAGGTTTTGCTGGCTTCCCATCTCCCATCTCAACACAGGCCTCAAAATGTGCACAAAAGAGGCCTCAGATCCCGTCCTCTTTCCTTTCGTCAGGATCCCCCTCTCATTAGCTTTGGGTCCTCTAGACAAATGGGGGCCTGGGGGCAGAGGGCCCCCCAAAGCTCAGCCTCTCTCTGCTGCTGAAGCGAGGCAGAAAGGTGGGCGAGGAACAAATCAGCGGTGGCCGCTGAACCCGCCAGCACGCTTCTTGGGGACAGAGGGGAAAGCGAGTGCCCTCTGGGCAGAAAGACGAAGCATTATTGAGCATGACCCTAGTAACCCTTCGAGCCCACCCCGGTCTCCAGAAAGCTGCAAGGACGGGCCCTTCCCTTGGCTTCTGTGCTCCAGGACAGCAATTCGATTAACTCCACGAGCAAATACGTAACTCCGGCAGCTGAATGCTGGTTCCAGAGCCTCTCCTGCACGTTCCAGCCTCTCCTCCCCTCCCTCTCCCCCCCCCCCTTCCCCCCCCCACCCCCTTTTT